AACATTCTACCATTCTTGTATCATTTATAATTTCATCCACTCCCCACCCCTCATTCACTTATTACTATTTGTGGGAATTACATTTTATTCATCTTTTTGTTCCCCTAACACGGAGCCGGGCACATAGTAGGTGCCTTAAAAATGTTTGGGGCCGGGTGCGGTGGCTCACGCCTGTAATCCTAGCACTCTGGGAGGCTGAGGCGGGCGGATCGTTTGAGCTCAGGAGTTTGAGACCAGCCTGAGCAAGAGCGAGACCCCGTCTCTACTAAAAATAGAAAAAAAAATTGGCCAAACAACTAAAAATAGAAAAAATTAGCCGGGCGCGGTAGCGTGTGCTTGTAGTCCCAGCTACCTGGGAGGCTGAGGCAGGAGGATCACTTGAGCCCAGGAGTTTGAGGTTGCTGTGAGCTAGGGTGACACCATGGCACTCTAGCCCAGGCAAGAGAGTGAGACTCTGTCTCAAAAAAGAAAAAAAAGTTTGGATATAAGGATAGATTTTCCAAAATTATTGTTTTTCAAATTTTAATCAAGGTCTATAAAACAGATACACCTCCTTTTTCTCTTAGAATCTCACAGTAAATGTGCACATAAAATTTTGATAAAAATTAAGTTTGTAAAGGAAAATAAGAATTTAGTACTTTAAATATGGGTCAGCAGAACAAGGAAAGTTGCTGAAAAATCTGATGAGAGATGTTTTATTTTTATGCCAGTACTGACCAGGCTGTGGATAAAGTCATTTATTTCTGGAAGTATCAAAAACCTTGGAATCACCAACTTCATTTACCTCTTAACAAAGATTCTATTCATTTGTGATGGAATTTTCAATTGATTCCATATGTCAAGAAGATAATCTGGGAGTAAAACTTGTCATTTTGTAACGAAGTTCTTGATAGGGTTAAGCAGCTGTGTTTTACTGTCCTTCGGGTCATAGATGGAAAATTCTGCTAATGTGATCTAAGCTTGAATGCTCACGGCCTGAATTAACGTTGCTACCAGCCAGTAGCCCCCGTGCCTAGAGTGTCACCTAAGAAGACAAAAGGTTTAATCAGCCTAATAAGAGAACTAAATCAGCACTTCTTACAAAGGAAGGATCTAACCAGACACCTTGCCTTGTTCTCCTCCACGGCAGAGTGAAGTGGGGGCAGCAATTCCAGGGGCAAGACAAGGGGTGGACAAGCTGGTGGAAGCAGCTTGGTGTCCTGGCCTTGGGCCTGTAGCAGAAAGAGCCTCCGCAGCAGTTTGCTTACTCCTGGAGCCGTCTGTCTCTGCAGAGACTGCTGTGTTAAGTATCTGGGAGAACCTGAAGGGTTCCAATTCGGAAAAGAGCTCCCCTGATCTCTAGCCAATGTCTGAGGGCAGTGGGCCACGTGCGTGCTGGTGACGCCTGGGCTTTGGAGGCCACTAGGTGTTAACCCTGAATCTGCCGTGTCCGGGTCGTGTCACCTTGGGCAACTTTCCTTACCTCAGTCATTCCTCCGTAAATTTGAGCACAATTCCTCCGTCCTTAGAGTTTTCAGAATGACAAAAAGAGTTGTAAAGCGCATGGCGCAGCGCCTCACGCAGGACCTGTGATCAGGTGAGGTAAACTGTGATGCTGTCATTGTCTTAGAAGGTGAGTCACTCCAGGAGAAGGAGCCCTCCATGCCTGTTCCCATTCAGACCTTTATACGCCATTGTGGGTGACGGTGGTGTCGCTGCCTTTCAGCAGGATTAGGATAAAAGAGTTAGGCCCTGAACAGACAGGGTTGTCTCGCCTAACTCCTGTTCAGCCTTCCAGGCTCAGCTGAAAAATGTCCACTTTTCATTGTGTTTTCTGACCTGCTCCCCTAGGGGGATTAGCCTTTTCCTCTTCGGACTCCTGTGGACGTTTTGCCCCCAACCCAGTCGCACTACACGGCGTGGTAGTAGTTTTTTCCAGGTCTGATTGACACATCTGATGTTGTTCTTTAAGCTCGTTTCAGGAAAAGCCCTATTGTCCCTTTTTCCCTGAATTTTTCCCATCCATGCCCATGTCCTGTTGCCTGTTTTTGTGACACAGACGTCTGATCCGGGGGGTGTCACCCCCAGTAAGTAGACAGCAGGCCTCAAATGTTCATGTCTCCCCAAAGATGAGATTCTTTCTGCTCTCCAGCAGCTAAGTCCTGCCTCAGGTGACCCTTACATACAAATCTGGTTGCAAACTCTCGGAATTTATCCGTCCCTCAGCAGACTTCTTCCTGGCAGCGATGGGCCAAAGCTCCAGGAGTGAATGCTAACAACTCCAACGAGCATCTCCTCTGAGCAGCTCGAAACTCCCTGGACACACATGTCACTCGCCTGGCATCTTGCTGTGAGACCTCTCTACCATCGGCCAAGCAGGGTCAGCCACACCGAGACCACAGGGCTCTTGTGGCAGGAACCAGGGTCGAGCTCATTTTGTGGTTCTTTAACCAACATCCCTGAGCTTCTAACTGGGGTCTGGGCTCTGCGCTGTCCCCGGGGAGTGTAGAAACGAGTCCAGCAGGGCCTTTGCCCCCTCGAGCTTCTGGTCAGAGGGGACACCAGTGAAGACTATCCCAGCACCCAGGGGTACATGCGGCATTGTGGGAGCAGCGAGCAGGGACGAGTGAATACTGCACAGAGGACTGCATGTGTGAGGAAGAAAATCCAGGCAGAAGGAACAGAACTGCAAAAGCAAGGAAGAAAGTGGGGGAGGGCATGGCATGTGATCAGGGAATGCATTTGGAGCACTGGGTGTGTGGAGGAGCAGAGGCAAAGTGACACAGAAGGACTCTGGGAAAGACAGCTAGGGTCAGCTTAGGACGGTGTGTTTGCCTCCCTCTTCCATACAGCGCCCTTGTATGTGCCACGCACGATGCCAGGTGTGCGATGTAGAGCAAAACAAGTACCGTTCCTGCCTGCATGAAGCATATAGTCTAGTGGAAAAAACAGACATTAATCAAGTAATCTCACAAAGGTAACATCTGTACAATCAAAGTTCTTGAGTTGGATACTGATGTGATCCAATTTGCATTTTAGAAAGCACTCTGGCCAGAAGAATTGGCGTAGATTGGGTGGAATGAAACAGGGAGGGGACACGAGTTAAACCTCCGCCACAGCCGTCCAGGTCTGCGCCAAGGTAGTGGGATGGAGAGCAGGAGATGAGCATGGGACATTCCACACGTAAAATGGGAAGGGCTTGGGCAGTCTGATGGGCCTACTACAATAGCTATGGATAATGACACTTAAGAAAGAAAGAAAAACAGGTTTGGGGTACAGTCCTCATGGGGGGATTGATAATTGGGAGTTTTGACCACTTTGAGTTTGAGGTGCCAGTGGGCCATCCAGGTGGAGATTGAGACGTGGGTTTGGAGCTCTGGAAAGGTGCTGATAATATTTATCAGGAGTCATCAATGTACGAGTGACGCTGTGTGTGCGAGGATGAGATCACCTGGAGAGAGAATTAATTGCCCTGCTGTGGCCCCAAGGGTGAGAAGCAAAACTTCCAAGCCACAGGAATGAAATTCTAGCTGGGTCTCTGTTGGTTAGCACTAGCTGGTCTCTCAGCTGTTGAGCGTGAAAGATGTAAATCCATGCCAAAGTAATCAACGTCAAGAAAAGCTCTTTTTCCCAAGGAACTAGTATGCTGCTTTTCTTTTCTCATACACAATGTAAAGTTTGCATTATTTTCCCTTCTTGCTTCAGCAGCCAGGAAGCTCAGAGCTAATTTTGCAACTTAATTTTAGAAATCATATAAGATCTACATATCCAGATATTTTTTTCCCAAATAAATACATTTTATACATCTATGTATTTTCCAGCCCTGACTTTTTTCTTTATTGTTTTAGATGCTCATGTAAACTGCCTCAGATCCTTTGTAAAACTAGGTAGGGCATACCTGTATAAAAATACATATTCCCCTTACCCTAATATTTTTGGGTCATCCTTGTAGCTCTTGTGCAATAAGTCCACCCAATTGCTAATACTGGCTAGATTTAAGCAGTAGGAACTCTTAGAACTTACAGAAGCTAGGCAGTAAATTTAACACTCACATAACTCATTAAAACAGGATAAAAGTGGAACTTCAAACATCTCTGTGTTTGCTACCAAGTCTGTGAAGGGAGGGGGGTTTACCCTTAATTCAGCTCAAGATATAAAAGTCTGATCTTTCAGAATTGAGAATACACTGCTGGAATTAAAGACTTGTCTGTGTAAATAAGTGCTCCAAAAGCGTTCAAAGAAAGATTGAGGTGTTAACTATATACGGATGGGGTTTTTTTTAAGTGTAGAGTATCATTTTCTTGACTCATAAAATGTAGTTTGGTGAAAGCAAACTTCCTTATCAAACAGCATAAGCACAAAATTGGCTGGACGGTAGATTTTATTTTTGGTCCTCTCTGCTTTTTAAAATAAATAATTAATTTTTAATTTGCTATTGGTTAAGATTACTGTGTAAATGATTTTCCAACTATGATCCGTGGCTGGTGCCTTAGGGACGGCAGGGGTGCCTGGGATGTGAGGGGATGAGAAGGCTGCCGAGCCAGGAGAACCCGGCCACCAGCCCCGGTCCCCAGCTGAGCTCTGCTTTACAGAGCTCACGGTAGCAGGGCTCCTTCTGCATAAGGTTCCATCTGAATAAAGGCTTCCCCTCCTAAAAGTGAAAAGAAAAGTTTGGAAATCATCCCAGGCGGGCACATCCCACTCACTCGCTATTGGGATATGGTAGAGGCACTGTCGGGGGCAAGAGGAGGTTGGAATCTGGTTGGTTCCAGCATAGAATTCCCTGTTGGAATTCCATTAGTTCCTACGCTGGCTCCTAGCCTCTGTGTGACTGTGGGGGATGACGACTCCTCCCTGAAACAGCTTCTGCATCCATAGAGGAGAATGACTTCCTTGATAATGGCTACGTCACCAATGAGGATGAGATAAATTAGCAGATGTGGCGCTCTGCCTGAAGAAGTGTAAGAACCGACGGCTCTCACTCCATGTTCTGACCCTCCTGTCCCCTCTCCACTGCCCAGGAGGAGCCGATCACCTTCTGTGAGGAAGCCTTCGTGTCCCACTATCGCTCCGGAGCCATGCGGCAGTTCCTGCAGAACGCCACGCAGCTGCAGCTCTTCAAACAGGTGCCTGCCCCTCCCGCGCTCGGCCTGTGTCTGGCTCCCTGGCAGAAATTTCGGGTGGGACTCAGGCCCCAGGCTGAAGAGGCTCAGGGAAAAAGGGGATCAGGTGAAGAGGGAGGTCAGCGACCAGACAGACCCTTTGCAAATCCGCCACGTGATTTTCCAAGTTCTCATAAACACGCAGCCAGTTTTTTAGAACCTTTATTGTTGACACTCACTTTTTGAAAACTCAATTGGAAAGGACCTTTCCTATCTAGGAAAACCTAAGATTGTTCTCTAGGCTTACAGCAAGGTGACCACTGAATGAGTTTCTCCCTGTTTTTTTTGTATAAACAGTTGTGCTTTGTTCTTTCTTTCTATAGTTTATTGATGGTCGATTAGACCTTCTCAATTCTGGTGAAGGTTTCAGTGATGTTTTTGAAGAGGAAATCAACATGGGCGAGTATGCTGGTGAGAAGCATCTCATTTTTCTTTCTGGGCTGTGGGCTGCTGTAGATTAAGGGTATGTTTGACAGGGAGTAGCAGTGATGACTTTTGCCTTTATTGGGGATCAGGAAGAGACTGATTTCAAACTAGGCCTTGAAATGTCCAGAGAATTCCTCTTCATTTTCTGATGAGATGCGTATTGGCCCATGTGAAATCCTGTGGCCTGGGGGTCACTTGCTTCCCCTGGGTAGACAAAGTCTAGTTAAACGTAGCAGCCAGCACGATGCAATGGAAAGCACATGAGATATCAAATTAGGAGACCTGGATTGAAATCAGAACTCGGCCTGCTCACTAGCTGAGAGACCTTGGTCGAGTCAGTTCACCTCTTTTAGCTAAAGTTTTTCTATCTATGCACCGAGAGCAACATTGCCCACCTCATAGGATTCCTGTTGAGATTGAATCAGAATCCTCGAGGAAAGTTTGTACAGTCACCCAGGACAGTCCCTGGCACAGGGTCAGTGCACGGTAAATGTTTCTGTAAAATGTGAAAATCATTGCCAGGTGCACAGTCTCTGCAGGTCTGAAAAACTGCAGGGCTTTTCCCCTGCAAAATGAAAAGGGCTTTTCTGTTTTCAGAGGAGGCATCCGAGGCCCAGAGAAGTGTTGATGGCTGATCTTGCCTCCTGAATCCCAGTCTGGACTTTCCAAATCCCATGGCCTCCGTCTTTGGCAGCATAGTCAAAACCAGATGCAAAATAGTAATCATACTGCCGGCCCTTTTATTGCTGGGCTTGTGTCTGGTCTGGACTATCCGATAATCCAACCGGAAGTTCATGAAGTCATAGAGCCCAGTATCCACCTCTGGCTACTACAGGCCCTACAGCTATGCTATGGGGAAGCACAGTTAATTAATAAAGCCAGTATGGAGTCTATGGGCAGTAATAGTGGATTATTGATAAGCATTTCCTGAACACTTGCTGTGTCCAAAGCCCCACAGAGTGAGAAAATGAAGGACCTAGTTCTGCCCTCAAGGAGATTTTAGTCAGATAGGAGAAGATATGCTTAACTAAAGACAAGTAAAAATTAAACCAATGCAGGAAAGGGAGTAGAAACAGGTTTTTGTGCAGTTAGAATAGGGCTGAGCTTGAGTTGTGTTCTAACAGTTGAATATGAGTTCTGAGAAGACGGGCTTTAGATGTTGCTCAACTAAGTTCAGTTATTTGGAGCTTCTAAAAGAGCTGTCTGCTGATAAGAAGACCTCGTTACCCCACCAGATCGAATGAACAGAGTTTACCAACAACACTGCTTTTTTCTTTCCCTCTCACTATTCAAGTGTCTTGAGGGCTGAGTGTGTGTCCACTGGGACACACAGCCCTGGGGGTTCTTGCTCTGATGTGGCTGACAGTACTTCAGAGAATATGCACATCTAAGTGGGTATTACCTATCCTAGAGGGCTGCTCAGAGGAAGGAGTAAGGAGAAGCTTCCGTAGGAAAAGACATCTGAGCTGGCTGTTGAGTTTTCTGAGCAGAGAAAGCAGGGAATAGTGACCAAGCAAGGGAACAGCATTTACAAGGGCCTGGCGGACCAGGAGAATGCTGGTTTGGGGAACCTAGGTAGTTCCTCGTGGAGGGGCCTAACTAAGGCAGTGCTGCAAAGTGGTAGCACAGGATGGAGAGGCAGAGGGTGGTGAGGCCAGGAGACAAGACAGGAGGAGTCTGACCTCCATCCAGTAGGCAGTCGGGAGGCTTCTGAAGGCTGGGAGTCGGCGCGTTGCTGTGGTCAGCTCTCTGTTTGAGAAAGAAAACCTGTGGCGGCGACTCGCTGCTGCCTCCTTTGGGGAGTGGAACACAGGAACCTCCATGTGGTTCTCCTGCATGCTGAAAGCTATTTAAAGAACTCCTGAGAGCAAATCACATCTTTAAATAATAGCTTCTCTGACTTCTCTTTCCCTAGGCAGTGATAAACTCTACCATCAATGGCTCTCCACAGTCCGGGTAAGTGGACACCCAATTCCAAGCCACCTGGGCCCCCTTCTTAGCCTCCTGGCAGCCCTCTGCTTCCTTGGCCACCCACAAGGCTGCCGTGGGGCCGGAGTGCTCGTGTCTCTCAGCTGAGGATGCTTTTGTTTGTAAAGCCAGGCTGTTCTCATGCCGGGAGACTAGAGGATGGGACAGTCCAGAGCCTCTCCTTGGTGAAGGTAGAAAGGTGGGAGAGGCTTCCTCCTCTTTGGGAAACCAGCCGAGGAGTGCTAAGTGGAATGTGGACATCGTAGAGCATTTCTAGGGCCAGTGCGGTGGTCATGGTCATGGGCAAGCAAAAAACGTGTCCCTCCTGGAAAGATGGAGAACACATCGCCGAGAGATTTTTTTCCATCTTCTCTCTGTTGTTGTAAACAATTTCTTGTTGTGTCGGGAGCCAGGTGCTTAGGGCTTCCGAAGCCTCTAAAGAATTCAAAATCTTGCCTTTCCTTTCCATCAGTTTATAATTGAGTGTGTGCTGAAGGCCTATTGCGTGCCAGGCACCAGGCTGGGTACTGGGGACACAGCAGGGAGCAGGACACAGGCCCTGCCCTGGGGGAACTCCCTGCCGTGGGGAGCAGGCACGTAAACAGGCAACCCCAACATAATGTGATAAGTGTTCTCTCCTGCTTATGGGCCAAGTGCGCTGCTGCCAAGGCGAGTCCCTTGGAAGTGGCTGCAGTTGGCCGAGAGTAAGCAATTCCTCGGTGAAAGACTTCCTTTGTTCTTCCTGTATGGCCAAACACAGCACTTGGCAAATCAGAGAGGAGCAATAAGGACTTGTTGATTGATTGATAAAGGGAGTTTCAATGCTCCAAAGGACCATTTAAATAGGATACTGAGTAATTTTGGAAAGCAGTATGGAATAAATGAGTGGGTGAAAATTTCCTATCATCCTACAACATAGAATGCTTTCTAGGTCAAATTGTAATGTTTTTAATTAAAGCTCAAAATTTCTAATGTGGGCAGTTACTACATATTGTGCTAAAAATTAAAGCCAATAATTACTATATCTTATTCTCTTGCATACCCACTGGTTCTAGTTTCTCTCTATTCCAGTCAGTTTGCATCCGATCACGTGATGCATTTGATTAAAAATCCTCCATAGTGTAGACCCCTTAGCCTGGCATTCTGGGCCCTTCGGGAGCTGACCCCATCTGGCCTCCCAGCCCCACTTACCACCCGTCCCATGGTGCACTGCACACGCTGCAGTAACCACTTGCTACAGGGCACACCTTGGCTTTTCAGCTTCTGCACATTTTCATGTGCTATTTCCCATCCCTGGAATGTTCTCCTCCTATCCCCCACATCAACTCCTATTCATCCTTCATGGGCCAGGTCTAACGTTTCCAAGGCCTTCCCTCGTCTTCTGTGTCTGCACACTCCTTGTGCACACGGCCTTTACAGCTGTCATCACCTCATCGCCTGCTGTGTCAGTTATTTACCATGGGAACCCCCCCCAACTGGAGTTTTTGGAAGCACAGACCAGGCTTCCTTTGGCTCTGCGCCCTCCGAGCCTAACAGGGGGCACCCGTGCAGTGAGCCCTCCCACCACGTCTGCAGGGACGAGACTGAAGATTCGTGAACACCTATGAAAACTTGGCCTGTGCACGTCACCTCCTCCACCACCTCCTTTATGTAGTGGGAAGGCCTTCCCTCCTCTTACCCCTGCTTCTTAAAAAAAGAGAGCAAGAAGTTGGTGTGTTGGATTTATAGTAAAGCCACGGTGAACATTTATGGCTGTTCATTCTTTCCTTTTCTCAAGATTTAGATGTTAAGGAAAGCAGCCTACCAGAGAGATTTTAAAACACAGCACAGAAAACCGAGGTGAGGAAAGGAAGTTGCACGGGTGAGGGGAGCATATTTCCCAACGTTCGTGCCTGATCAGGATCCCGTTTCCTGCCCTGGCTTGGTGTCAGCTGTAGAGTCCATAGTATTAAACTTACCTGAGTATTGTCCGTGGTAACTGGAATTTCCTGAAGAAGCCACAGATGACTATAGGGAAACCCTTGCCTCAGACAGCCTGAGATATGCCTCCCTTCCAGCCAGGGGACAGGTGCTGAGCAGAACACTGAGCCCAGGGTTCCCCCTAACCTGGTTATCACACTCCACCCCGAGGCCACACACCTACACCCTGCAGATACCCACCCAGAGCCATTCTGCCATAACCATGACCATAACTGTCCGGGACCAATTACTATCTAGCACTGTTTCTCTGTTTGAATAACCCTTTGAAAAGTTGCTGAACTTGGTTGAAGAGAAGAGGTCTTTGTTGGTGTTGGCCTACTCTGTCTTCAGCCCAGATTGCTAATTGACATTTTTATTATAGAAAGGAAGTGGAGCAATTCTGAATACTGTAAAAACAAAAGCAAATCCGGCCATGAAGACTGTCTACAAGTTCGTAAGTACTGGTCTTGGTCTCAGGATCCAAACAGATCTGTTCTCTTAGCACGATGACACTCTTAAATACACGTGGTCTTCTATCGCAGAGATGACTCAGGGGCTGCTGCCCTGTTTCCCAAAGGTCTCAGTGCTCTTACAATTATTTAGCATTGAGATTTTATGACTAGTCCAGTGACGTTTTTAATTTACAGTGTTGCTGTTCACAGTTGCTGCAATAGAGAAATGGGACACTACTGGTTTTAGCTTTTAAAATGGTGGCGAATACAGTACATACCAGCCCCCAAAAATAAAAAAATTAATTAATTAATTAAATGGTGGCTGAAATTCAGGCTGCTCCTCACCCACATCCCTGAGACCCAGAGGCATGGTCTAGCGTGTGTTCTGGCAAAGTTTTCCTATGTGTATCCCCATTATTAGGTCAAAATAAAGCAGCGCCTTTGCAAGTTACTGAAGAGTGTTGGTGGTGGGATACGCCCTTTAATTTTTGTCCCAAATTCTTCATCATCTCTGTCACCACTGCCCCATAGGAAATGCATTATCTGTGCGACTCGTGCCCACAGCTGAGTGAAGATAGAACACGTCAGTTCCTGGTGCTCCGTCTTTTACAAGCCTCAAGTATTTTTTTCCTGTGATTTCTCTTGCTTGCTAATTTGACCCCGAGCCACTGAAGTGGGGAGGTTTTGTTTTATTGCCATTTTTAATTTTGTTAGTCCTCTCTGTGCTTAAATTGTAGCTATTTTAACAGAGTGGGCGTTTGCCAACAGAACCACACAGGTCGAAAATGACATAAGATAAAAGCCAGGGCGTCTGCCAGGATGAGGTTTAGGAAACGGCGCTACAGAAACCCCGCAACGTGTCTGTTCCGGCCGTTCCGCCTGGGCAGAAAATTAATCCTGAGGCCCTGCCCTGGTGAAATATAATGGATGCTCCAAGTCTCGCGGCCAGAAAAGCTGCAGCTCTACTCTTACTGGTGGCTGTCACCAGACTGCCGAGATAAATAATTATAGAGAGCAGAAGAAGGGCTTTGGAAGGGAAAAAAAAAAACTGTGCCATCAAAATGCAGAAAATAAAATCTCTGCAACCTCTTTAAGGGATTTTTTTTTTTTCACCTTTTACTGTTGTATTTGTTTTCATAGCTATTATGTTTTCGACTTGATGATCCCATTTTTCCTTCCTTTTTCTAGTAATCAGAGAAGGTGATTCTCGACGGACTGAAATCAAGCATAGTCCCTGCTGGAAACAGAAAGGGAATCTTAACTTAAATTAATTTTTCATGCAGGCAAAAGATCATGCAAAAATGGGAATAAAAGAGGTGAAAAACCGCTTGAAGCAAAAGGTACTTGAAGTTCTTATTCAAAATGTATAAGCACCGTGTATGAAATGCATGGCCACAAAAAAGTATGATGTGATCAATAGAGAGCTGTTTGATACAGTGTTGTTAACACACTTCAAAATGCATTACCAGCTGTCCGGGAGTTTTCACACTGTTATAAATATTCACAGACAAAAAACTGTCTTCAAATAACATTAAGACTGTGGCTTAAACCCACAAAGGCAAGCAAGTTCAGAGTTACCACTGCCAGTCTGTCCCTGGCCCACTCCCCTGGGCCTGAGGTTCACAGGCATCTGTAGAAATCCCCTCGGCCTCCCCACCCCCCCGCTACAGCCAACCTCTGCCCCAGGGCTGGTCGTAACCTAAACCAAGAAGCATCTCCAGGGAAGCGATTGCCGTGGTTCCAGCTTGCACGCGGCCACCGCGCAGACACTGCACAAAGGGTGGGGTTTGAGGAGGACACGGCAGGTTGTCGTCACCGTGGCGGACTGCATGGGAGGAACCCAGCAGTTTATGTTGGAGACTCTGTGCAGGGAGGGGAGGGCTCTGACTGACTTCTGGGACCATTAGTAAAATTGTATGAAATCATACTGGCTACATCCTGGTTAAGATTCCCCCAGTCTGAATCTCTAGACTTGTACAATGAAGTCACTATAACAGAGAGGACATTTTTATATTATTATGGATGTTGTCATTGTTATTGTTGTTGCCACCCTTTGTTAAGCTCACGTTAAGGGTGGTCCGGAGTAGGAGCTTTCCCCTTTAATCCTTAGAACAACCCCGTGGGGTATTATTCCCATTTCACGAGTACAGATTCTAAGGTTCAGAGGTGAAGTCATTTGAGGCCACACTGTTTGAGCCTAGCAGAGCCAGGATTAGAGTCCAGATCCGTCCACCTCCACCTCCAACGACTGTGCTCGTACCACCATAGTGTTTCGTACTGCCTTCCTGAAACACGTGTTTTGTTTTCCAAAAGATATTTGGGATCACTTACTCCATCATCCCCACGCCTCCAAATGTACCACTCTAATAAGGGCCTTTGGCTATCTCGGCAGTTTTTAAAAAATTGAAAGCAGTTTTAATTTTATAAAGTCAGACAGGACCTCTAATTAACTTGAAATGGTTGAAGGAATTGATTCCTTTCTTTTAATTGGAAAATAATTTGCTCTGACTAAGCATTTAGATTCTTAGTTTCGGCTGAGAGTAAATTTTTAACAGCTGAGGTTCAAGTCCTGAAATAAAAACCCTGTAATATAAATCCAGATAGACCTCAAACTGTAGTCTCTTGCACCCTGCCAGAGGAAGGCAGGTGGCATTCTTTACTTGGATGTTATTTAAGTCACTAAATATACCTTTTTTATCTCCTATCCCAGTTGCATGTAGCTGAATTGTATTGCAGATAGAAAATGGAGTGGCAGGGAGGGGAGTTTTTCCCTCCTTGATGTCTGGATCGTAGGCTCTGGTTGGTATTCGAATGTTACCTGCAGTCAGCAAAGAAACGGGCCCCTCCTCAGGCAAAGGACAGATGCGCTCTCGTCGGTCAGACGTGCTCCCTACAGACCATTAAGCTAGAGACCTCACCTTACCTCCCTACTTGCACGTGCAAGCGTTGGCCTTAGGAGAATCCCCTTTTTATGATATTTAACGTTTCTGCAAATAGCCAGTTAAGCTCAGGTTTTTAAATGTGGTGGTTCAAAGGTTTGTTGAAACAATCTAGATCACTTTCCTTCCACGCCATCTCTCTTTCTGTTCCTTGGTAGTATCTGAAGCAGATGTCTCCCTCCCCTCCCCTTCCCCCTGCCAGTCTTTTCAAGAATAGCTTCAGGAGATAATGTTCTATAGAGAGTGTCAGTACATTTCAGGTGACACAAATGGTGAAGGCATTTTATAGAAATGTGGCTTGTCACCATCGGACTGTTGACAGATCTATTAGTGCACCCTTTTCAATTTTCACTTTTCCCCCCTTCGGTCTTACAGATTTCCGCAGACTTGATGTTTTGCAGTTGTTCCTGGAAGAGAGCTATTTTGTAATTGAAACTCTAGCATTGTTCAGTGTGTACAGGACTTGGGGCTCTGGTGCTCTCCAGCTCCCTTTCTTGAGCTAATTTAGGACTTGGCTTCACCTGACCTCTCTCACAGCAGCAGAAAATATTTCCTTGGCTTTTTTGTTGCCCTCCCCTCTGCCCCCTCCCCTTTACATGGCACCATATCTATGTGGCTGCCCAGATGCATCTAATACAGACGTCTCAAGTTTGGTTTCTGCCATGAAATTGAGGCAGTTCCCAACAAAGATCCAATTTTCAAATGTGCTGGGTTGCCACCCGGCCTCCTCTAACTCTGCATAGCAATGGTGACCTCGCAGACATAATCAAGAACCCAAGCTTGCCCTCTTCGCTCTCGCCTTGGGTTTGAATTGCAAATAGCAAATGTGGGGCCGACCTGTGGAGAGGTCATCATGGTGTGTGGAGGGTCCGTCTCTAATACGACCGAGCAGGGCCCTTCTCCATCCCTTGTTCATTTGTGCTGCAGATTTTCAAAGCATCTGAAATAGGAGCTTTCAGGATATCTGTGTGACCATTGGCAAATAATTGTTAATAGATCCTATAGTGTGGCTTTATTCCATATCTGCTCTGCTTCAACCCAACAACAAAAAAAGAAGGATGGATAACATATTTCTCTAGATAAATGGAGCAAGGTGGTCAAGTTCTTCTATAGCTTGGCCTCCTTTGAAGTCTGACTTGCTCAAAATTAGGAAGAAGAAGAAATGGCAAAGATGCTACCCAGCCATCGCTTTCTAAGGGAGAGCGTAGTGCTTTCATGTGGAGCGCCTCCCTGCCAGACCTGGCCCACACAAGAGTCCCTCGTGGCTGGGCTGTGACTGTCAACAAATTACATCCCGCTGCAGAGCCGTGCAAGGCTGGCATGAGAATGCCCTGTTTTAAGAGCAATGGCCGTGTGCGCATTCCTCACCCACAGGGAACATTAAGATATTCACATAGGGATGACCCTTTCTGCATATTGAGGAACCCCTGAAATTTTTCTCTTTTTTCATCAGTATCCAAATGATTTAACCAAATGGGCCCTTTTTACAAACCTTTGTAAAGTTTCTGAATCTTCGATCTTTAAAAGACAAATCGAGCTTGTTGATAGAGTCTCTGTGATTGAAAGGAGCAGGTTCACAGTTGGTTTCACAGAGGCTCGAGTTTCTGGCCAAACAGTTCCCATTGAAGGGGGTGAGTAGGCATTCGTGGGCAGGGAGATCCAGGTAGACTCTTGCAGAACAGACATTTTCACACCTTATCGCAGAACTGTCAGCCCCCTGTCTCCAGACACATTAAAATACACTGCAGCCTCAATCACAGAGATTCCAACTTTGGCTACGATTTTGATATCAGTATTCACATTTTAATTTGCATTTGCTGTAGTGTGAGGTAGCCTAGAAAAAGAAGGGCACCGCATTAATCTGAAAATGGAGCCAGGTAGATCTCCCACCAGCGGTGTGAGCAGAGATGGGAAGGCCTCTGCCTCACAACTGTGGGGACCTTCAAACTCCCCCACCTGGTGATGTGGTATTTGGGCTTCTGAGGCAGATCAGCTGGGCTCAGTGCTGGTTCTGTAGAATATTCACTGTGTGACCTTGGGTAAGTTACTAGCTCACTCTGATCCTAGTTTTTCTCATCCATAAACTAGGGGAAATACAGATTTTTACTGGATTATTATAAGGATTAGCAGAGATAATGTGTTTAAATAGCAATGCTTAGTAGCTACTCAGTAAATTAGAGTTTCTGTTCTGTCCATTTTCTTATATTCCACATCTGGGACAGCCAGTCTGCCCAAAGGCCCATGTGCACATACCTTGAGAACGTAGGATCACCTCCCTTCAGGTCGTCCACTTAACCACCAGAAGAATCTTTGTAGAACACAGCTCTGAGTCACTCTTTAATTAAAACCTTTCAGACCTTTCAAAGCTTCCACCTCCTTGGGCGGGGGTGGAACGCCCCAGCTCTGGCCCACCTGCCATTCCTGCCGCAGGCCCTGCTCTTCCCTCCCGGGGCCACGGTGCTCTACTCGCGCATCTCTGCCTCGTGAAGTCCTGTCCTCAGCTCCTACGTATCCAACCCCCGTCCCAGCTCCTCCCCGAGGCCACTAAGAGCCCTTTTTGCACTCTGGTCTCCCGAGACCCTGGGTCCCTGCCTCCTGATTTCTCTTGGAGACTCATGTCCAAGGACTCAGCATGTGCTATGCCTGCCTTCTCTGCAGAGGGGTGGAAGTTAGATGTCAGTCATGATTTTTGAAAATGACAGGAATGTAATTATTTCCTGACTCTCTTGCTGTACCAAGGGACGGGAACTGGTAGGACCCCAGTTGCTCTGCACTGAGCCTCGGGGCTCCTGGGAAGAGATTTGCCACCCTTGGTGGCCTCTGATCTACAGCTCTGTCTAGTGTCTTCCTCCTGTGTGGCCCTTCAGGAAGGAACGGGTTTGCCCCTCTTGTCAGCTTCTTGGTTTTGCTTTTAAAAATGACATGTAGAAAGTTAGTTTTTGCCTGTTTGCAAACAAAATTCATGTTATTGGGGAAAACTCAACAAATCAGAAGAGGGAAAAGAAAATAATATCATTTTGTAACCTGTATTTTCATTGACTACATCCGGACATCTCCCAGACCTACTAAATGTTTCTTCCACATGTCATTGTTTTAAATGGCTACATAAAATTTTGTGTGATATACATATATGCATTGTTTAATCAATCCCACTGTCGGACCCTTACGTTAGTTCCAATTTTTTCTAGGCAAATATCCTCATAAGTAAGACTTTGCAGTAATTCTTATTATTTAATTAGGATAAACTTCTAAAAATGGAATTAGTGGGCCAAAGGGCATGTACGTATTGTAGGTTTTTCATATAAATTGCCAGTTTACATTCCCACCAGAAGACTATGAGAGTACCTATTTCCCAAGCCCTTCGCTGACAGCTGAGTTATTAAATAGTCCTTAGGTCACAACTTTTTTATCAGGGATGTCAAAAGTTGCTGTTATTGGCTCCTTACTATGCATAAGTTCTCTGCTAGTGAGCACAGCAGAGGATGTGAACTGGCCCTATTTCTTTCCTGTCTTGGGCTCCTATTCAGCTCCCTGTGGCATCCTAGGAGGAAGCAGTTGTCCTTCCCCAAGTGGAGGAAATAGCAAAAAAGTTAATATATTGGTGGGGTGAGGCGACAGGACTTTATAAGAAATCTTTTGCACCTTTGGATCTTCTAATAAATAAAATGAATGTGCAGCACTGCTTTTTGACACGCAGGCACATTTGTGTATCGGACACATTTGCCTTCCAAATGTTTAACTCAGCTTTACAAAGATTTATTGGAGAGCGTGTACTAGATTCAAGGCTCTAGGGTAGAGAACCGAGACCCCAAAGAACTCTCAATCTGTAGGGATACAAAGATAAGATAGCACAAGGCACGGCAGCATCGGATCCGTGTAACGAGAGGGGTTTCCGAGGAGAAGATCACATCTGATGACTTGCTGGGCACCTCCTCAATTCCCAGTACCTTCACTTGTGCTACTGTGATGGGTTAACGTGGTATAAATGCCAGGAGTCACGTTGCTCAGGGTGCCTCCACTTCCTAGCTATGTGGCCTTGAGTAATTTACCCTCCCTGAGCCCTATTTCCTCACCTATAAAAGAGGGATAATCCTATTTACCTTGTGATCATTGTGGGAACTAAGTGTGAGAATGAAGGTCAAAGGTCTGGAAAAGTGCCTGCCAGGGGTAGCCACTCCGCGAAGGGAAGCTCTTCTTTTTAGCAGGTGTTCTCTCCCTTTTGCAGGGGGTACGGATCTAACGTTCAATTTGCACGGTGCTGTGACATTTCTCAAAGCTTCCTCATATCTCATCTCGTTTAACCCATTCTCCCAGTAGCTTTGAAGTTTGCCAAGCAGCTGGTGTTCTCCCATGGTAAAAATAAAGAAATAGGTGCGGAGAGGTTGAGTGAATCAGAAGGATCTGACAGCTAGTTAATGGTAAAAACAAAACTAGGAGACAGTATTTTTACTTACAAGCTTCAACTAAGACACTTTTCCCAAAACTACCGCATTTTCTTTTTTTAAAATAGCTATCACCTTATAGTTTTCAATTATTACCAATATTTTCTCACCATGTTACCTTGCAGCTCCATTTTTTTCAGCCAAACACAAACACGCACACAGACGCACACAAAATTTTCCCTGCACCAGAAGTGAACTTGTTAATGTTTAGTCTTATTCAGCCTCTCGTATCTGTCCTCTAGGTACCTCCAGCTGGATCCAAAATGCCCCTTTGGCCCTCTGTTGCTTTCTGGCACAGAACCTTTGTTCCACTTGACCTGAGCACCTTAGGGCAGCCCCTTTCCAAAAGAGCCGTTTCTAACTGGCTGTCGGCAACCTCTTTCATCACTGAGGTTCAGCCTGGCTGAGACTGACGGTCCAATGTGGGCCACTTGATCCAAGCCCTCCCTGTACAGCCAAGAGGTCATCATCTCACTTGGTTCTTTACCAAGCAGTAGAGACTCTCCAGGGCTGGCCTCTCCGGGCAGCCATGATTCCTTAGGAAAGGAAGCCAGGAGGTAGGCAGCCAGATGCGCACAGTCAGATATATAGTGTGTGTGTTTCCCGTAGTTTACTGAGTAGCTAACAATGTTTCAGACACTGTTACGTTATCTGTCTCCTTTAATCTCCCTCGCTACCATATCCCCATTTTCCAGCTGAGGAAACCGAGGCATGGAGATAGCATATATGTTTCTTCCTTAATGCGTGATTATTCAGTAAGGGACCACTTTCCTCCATGCTCCACCATTCTCTCTCAGCTGAGAAGTTAAGAGTGACCAATTGTCAAAATCTCTTATGTACAGAATTGTATGAGTATCAAGATTATATATTTGTTTGACCAGAATGTATATTTATTTTTGCAATGAAAAGAATTGGAAATTGTATTCATTATTTCATTCTGGCTGTGAGTTATTTTTATTTGGTAAGAAAATGATTATTTAAATGTTATTTATTTGTACATTTATTCTCTGCTTTGTTCCAATGAAAATTTAAGCAACTTTCTTGACTTGAATAAAACACGTGATCCTTGTCACACAAGTGGGCCCATCCATGTTCCAGGGAACCCATGTGTAGAGTCAACTGCCAGCTGTAGTCACCGGAGACATCACTTGCCTTGTGCACATTGAAGTTTTTCTTTTCCTTATAATTTGACTTCATTCATCAAAAGCACAAATTAAATTTCTAGATTTAAAAATATTTCTTTGGCCCCTAAATATATCCCTAGTCGTGGAGTCCTAACTCAGGCTTCAATCTTTTTATTCTCGACCAGAAAGATTAGGGATAGGAAAGAGGGAACACAAATACATGTTCACTAACAGTAACATCATCAGTAAACAAATATGGAAAAAATGTCCACACTCACAAATAATTAAAGCAATGCAAATTAAAGCAACAATGAGGTCTAATTTTTCACCTATTAAATTAGCAATACATTTTAAAAACGGTAAGGCTAAAGAGTACTGTGAATCTGGTAACACATCCACTGCTGGTAGTTAATGTAAATTGGAAAGCAATTTGGTAGAATGAATAAAAAGCCTTAAAAATGTTTATGTCTTTTGATCTAGTAATTTCATTCCTAGGGATTTCCATAGAAGAAATAATACAAAAGAAAGAAAAACTTTAATATTTATCCCTGGTATTTAGAAAGTAAAAAAAAAAATTAGGAACAACCTAAATGCCCAATAGTAATGGAATGGTTTGTTAAATTATACATCCAATCAATGAAATATTATGCATCCATTAAATTTGTTATAATGACTATGTAGCACCATGGAGATGCTTATAATATATTGGGGGAAAAGCAGGATATAAAATTATGCATGAGTTGTGATCACAAGTAATTTTTAAATATTTGCATGTGGACAAAGTGAATATATAAAAATGAAAATAGCTACGTAAGGTAGTAAGATGAAAAAGGGTTTTTTTTTCACTATTATGAATTATTATGTTATCTTTGTAATTTAACATGGATGATTTTGGTTTCTCAAGTTCTTAAAAGTCAAAGAGCCAAGTCAGCCCTCTATTTCCTCCATCTCCATCAGGAGGGGAGGCTCGGAATGTCCCCAAGGGGATTCCACTGCAGGCCTCTTAGCTGTGGGGTTGGAGGGAGCACAGGTGCCAGGACCCCGATGCCAACCCCCTGCCACACTTCTCCCTGCAGGACATCACTGAGAATGGCTGTGCCCCCACCCCAGAAGAGCAGCTGCCAAAGACTGCACCGTCCCCACTGGTAGAGGCCAAGGACCCCAAGCTCCGGGAAGACCGGCGGCCAATCACAGTCCACTTTGGACAGGTAAGTACCCTGGCCGTTGTACCAGTCTGTTCTGGTTTTGGTTTTTAGCAGCTGTAGCACATACAGAAGACAATTTTTTATTTCAGCCCTTTAGCAAAGCAACTTGATGGAGTTTTTCACATCTTCAGATGTTTATTTGGTGCAAACATGTTTTGAAGGTGAATTTTCAAAAATTTTAGGGAGACAGCATGGTTCTGGTCATAAACTAGCTCAGCTATTGAATGAAGTTATTAAATGCAGCTGCTGTCTCCCCCGCTCCAAGGCACTCCGTTTAAGGTGTCTCTGTTAGCTAAGCATCTCATTAGAACACTTTAGCATCCCAGGCCCTTCTTTGCACCTTCAAATAAAAGGCAACAAGCGAAGTCTTAAAAAAATCAATTAGGAGTTCTTTATTAATGTACTTCCTGAAAATCAATATCAGGAGTCGTGCTTCTCAAAGTAAACACCCAAGCTACAATTCTAGAGATCCAATTCTTTAACCAACTGTTTTTAATGACCCGAGCATTTGAAAAATTGTCTATTTGTTTGATTTTTTTCCCTTAAGTAAACATTGTACTCTATAGAAACTAAAATTTTTTATCCCTTTCCTCTCTGTGGTTATATCTTTGGTTGAAAAAGATTGCATATCCTCCCTTCTCTTAAATCAATTTTTGATTAGCAAAAGTCATAATTTTTTTTGATTTATAAGAAATGGCTCTGTTAACAAGATATGGCTGTAACAAGAATTTATAAAGTTATTTATTTTTAGATCACCTGATTCTTTAACCATTTATTAGATGATGCGTGATTGAGATATTCTTTATGATTCTTATCCTAAATGTGGTTGCTGTTTCACCACATAAAGGGCCTAGATGCCTACGTTTAAAATACTCCTGTTTTTAACAGACATTTATCACGTGCCTACTATGTACCAGGCATTGAGCTATTTAGAAATGAAGGGAACTTAACGAAATTGCTGCCGTGGGTTATTCCTATAAGGGAAATCATTCTTCTCTAATCAATATTTTCAGATAATATATTCATGCATCTTTAACTTAGGGAGGTTCACCCCCTTTTCTGATTTTACACTTAAAAGGATAGTATAAAAATTGAAATGAAGTGCAAGAAAAAAACATCCACAGGGCAGTGCTCATTTGGTTAATGAGAATTTTCAAATTGCACTGGTGTCTGCACCCCTGAAGAGCTGCCTTCCCCCACCCCAGGCTCAGGCCCTGCAGGAGAAACCCGCACCCCAGTTCCCTGGCTCTGTACGCTGAAAGCACAGCCCCGCTCGGTTGTCGCCAGCATGGCATTCCAGAGTCAGCTTCCTGCCTGCCTTTGTCCTCATTCCTGCACACACTAACCTTCCCATGAAAGGAGCCCCTCGCTGGAGTTTGGAGCCCATTACAGAGAAAGAGGGGGCGGGGGAGAGGGATTTCATGGTGTTAAACATTCCATTTTCGAAACACAAAAAAAGGAGGCCCTATTTGAAATGGAGAAAGACCTTCTTTCCATTTCAGCCAGAAGTAGAGATGCTTTAATGTCATTCCCAGCTAAATGCAGAATAAGAGTATGTATGTGCGCACGGGTGGTGGATAAACAATTAAAAAAGCCACCCCAAACTCTGTTGAAATAAGAGCTGTCTGTGCCTTCACAGGTCTGCAAACTGGAGAGGATGAAAGTGGCTTTTTTTCCCCGTTTGTCACTTCCCTCACGTGGCTGCCAGCATTATGCAAGTGTACAGGAAGGCAGGATTTTTTTTTTAATGCATGCATGCGGATTAAGGTCAAGCCCCTAGTATCAGCCATGCAGCGGGCTCTCCCTTCCAGCTGCAGCCGGAGAGCCTACCCACAGCCGCGAGATGCCTTAATTGAGACGTGCTGTCAAAGTGACAAACACATTTGCATACAGTCTACACTCTATTTATTTTCTCTGGAAAGGTCTACAGTCTGCTGTTGGTTGAACATTCTTAATCAGTTTGCTGTATGTGAACTGCCAGGCAGCTCACTTGTGCTGGCCCCTTCTTCATTAGGTGACAGATTAGCTGCAGGAGGGGTGGGGGGACCACAGACCCTTTCCTTTTAACTCTTTCCAGCTTCGCCCCCGTGATAGGTTGTCCTCTAGTCCCTCCCTGGGTACCTGGTTTGATGAGCCATGGGCCATAACAGGTAGCATTTCTAGAGCACCCACTACTGGCAGGCACGAGTTTTAGGGACTTGAAATTCTTCTCAAAGAACAATCTTTTGAGTTCCATTTCAGAAATTTTTGCCACAGTCTCCTACATCTGTATTATTTCTTTTTACTTGATATTTCTCTTTAAATGGCCTCAAACCTGACATCCATACCAATCTTGGCCTCATCTTAAGCAATGATATTGGTAAAATCATAGGTTTGATGTCCTAGTCCAAGTTTTTTTCTGAGCGTACAAAAAAAATTTTAAGTGTTCATCCATGGATCACCTAAACCATTCATGTGGCCCCACGGTATGCATTCTCTTTTTGGAAAATAAAGGACCACTCCCCTCCCCCGCCACTGTCCAGTAACTTGTGTCACCTCTGCCATATCCCTTTGAGGAAGGGATCATTAGCCCCATTTTATGGACCCAGAGCTGGAGCTCAGAGACATGAAGGGATCCAGGGCCACATCACCAGCTCAGAAACCCAGGACAGTCTGCCTTGAGCCCACGCCAGCTCTGTCACCAAGCAAGGATTTCAGTCATTTGATATGTCCGTTAAAACTGGTGTGCCCCGGCAAAATAATTTCAGCTAGCCAAATAGTCCACACTAACCTCACCGGAGTCCTTGCCTCGGGTTTGCATTTCTTTGGATTTCATTCTTTAAGAACACTTAGCTTGCCAGTGGGCGTGGAGACTGTTGAGATTGTTGCATTAATCTCTCCACCTTGCAAAGCCGGTACCCATGCAGCTAACTGGGGAGCTCCGTGGAGGCCTCCGAAGGGGTAGCAGGGGCCCCCGGACAGCAGCTCTGCAGTGGGGGGCTTAGTGTCAGGGCAAGAGCTGCCACTGCCGGGGAGAGAAGGTGCTTCCTTGCCCTCTGCCTCAGTAGAGTTTCTCTTTTGAGGCCGTGACCACCCCTCCCATTTAATTATGCATCTGTTCATGCATACATTGAAACATACCCTGTGTGAGATAAATAAGTCCTCAGTGCCCACCCCGCGAGGCACAGTGATGGAGACAGACCAGCAGGTGGACAGTCCTGACCCAGAGTGACCAGGGCTATGAGAGAGGAGAGCTCAGAGCACCCTGAGGGCCCCCCAGAGGCAACCTCTTCACCCCCAGGACCACTCTGCACAGTCCCAAGATGGACTTAGAATCAGAAGATACACTGTCAGCTGGGCACGATGGTTCACGCCTGTAATCCTAGCTCTCTGGGAGGCCGAGGTGGGTGGATCGCTCAAGGTCAGGAGTTCGAGACCAGCCTGAGCAAGAGCAAGACCCCATCTCTACTAAAAATAGAAAGAAATTATCTGGACAACTAAAAATATATATATAGAAAAGATTAGCCAGCTGGGTATGGTGGCGCATGCCTGTAGTCCCAGCTATTCTGGAGGCTGAGGCAGGAGGATCGCTTGAGCCCAGGAGTTTGAGGTTGCTGTGACCTAGGCTGACGCCACAGCACTCTCTCTAGCCAGGGCAATAAAAGGGGACCCTTACTCAAAAAAAAAAAAAAAAGATACTCTGTCAACTGACTGAACTCGCTAATAATTCATTTGTTTTCTGGAGCAGACATATGTCACACCTCTAAGAGTTTGTGAGGAGCGAAATAAGTAGATTTTTATTAATAGTTTGGCCTCTGCTTCCTTATCATGTATGGTTTCTTCACAGAGTTCAAAAGTGCCAAATAACTCGAGAATGCCTATCCTACCTTGGCAAATGTTCAGGTTTAGAAAGGCTTTAAATTACTTTTTCCCCCTTCTCATGTTTAGAGTCCATTGAGAAGGCCCAGGGGACGGTCAAATGAGAGAAAAACACTAGCTTTTTTATTGATAAGACTGAAAGGAGAATATAACGTTAAACCTGAGGCCAAATGTTGCTGAAACTTCACCTCCAAATTTAAAAGACAGTTGTGCACACAGGATAAGTGCACGGTGGCAGGCCTTGCCCAGGGCAGAGCTGCCCACGGACTCCTAGCAAGGAGCTGCCGCGGGGCCGGTACGCAGCTGGAAGGGGCGAGGAGTCTGCTGGGTTTCTTCTCCCAAGCTCCGGGGGAAGGCCCTCCTCCTCTTCTGGGAAGAGGTGAGTGAGAGGGCTCAGAGAGCTAAGGATTTCCCCACGCTTTCCTCTCCTGGGATGGGAATGGAAATTCCCTCCTTTCCATGGCTGTAGGAGGGAGGAAGCTGTGTCCTCCCCAGCAGGGCCTGGGCGCTCTCGGCTAGAGTATGTTGCCTTGACCGCCTTCGATTCTGGGGAATAAGCAGAGGTAGCTCCCCTCGCCCCTGCCTCCACCATGGAAGCCGCTTGCTCCCTGCATTTAATAAGATGGACAGGACACTAGATGCTTCCACATCTGTGCTCACTGACTGGAGTCTTTGCCATGAGCTGGTAAGGAAGAAGGCGTTTTGTACCCAGCATACCAGTGAGGGCGCACGCAGGAACAGCGCTGCCGGGATGTTAATTCCCACTCCAAAGCCAGTAGCAGCACCTCTGCTTCTCTTGGCCACGTACAGCTCTCCCGCCTGGCTATGGGAACGTACTGACTGTGCAAGTCTGGTGACATTGGACTATAGTCCCGGGTGCAGGTGACCAAAGCTCTGGGCCTCAGCCAGGGCCAGGCCTTCCCAGAAGCCCTCCGTTGAGAGGAGGCAGGAGGACAAGGCTCCCCTGAGAACATCATGGCAAACCCCTTCCAGGGCCTCCTTCTTTGTGTTTCCCCCAAATGATTGATCCTGCAAACAAAGTCGTTGCCTACCTTCCAGTCTGGTAGATTCCAAAAAGTGCGTATTGAAAAGTACCTCTGTTCTTCTCCCATGTAAGCAAAGGTCTCTAAACCTCTTTAATGTAA